TGGTGGCACTGCAGGCTAAGTGTTGTGCTGCTAGCCAAACAATCAGTGGTTTTTCTCCAGCAGCCACTGTGTGGAAGAAAGATGAGGCATTGTGTTTACATAAATATTTACGAGCTTGGAAACCCTGTGAGGGCAGTTATCTGCTATACTGTAGAGCTGCTCCTTGGGAGAAAGCTGGGCATTTTCCTTCTGTGCGATTTACTGCCTCTGAAAACCTCCTGGAGGTTCAACTGTGGGTCAGGTCTGACTTGATGGCACATAACAACATAGAGTCACTAAGAGTCAGAATTGACTTGGTGGCACAGGTGGGTTTATGTCCTCTGGTGGCTGCTCTGCCCAACTGGGTGATGATGGCCTGGGCCTTGCACTTTCAGACCTTGGTTCTGTGCCCATGTCAGTCTCATTTCCCTTCCCACCTTCTCTAACTGCGCCCCCTCATGGCCTTTCTCATTTCCCCCTTCTTGTTTCCTGTGGCTAAAGCCTTCTCAACCTTCCGTGAATTCTTGGTCTCTGGCTAACTTCCCCGTTGTGGTCAGCTGGCACCTCTAGGCAAACGGAAAAGAATTGGGCTGGTGGTGCAGTGGTTGTTAACCCGGTCAGCATTGTGAATTCACCAGCTGGCACACAGGAGAAAGATGTGGCAGTCAGCACCAATAAAGACAGCTTTGGAAACTGTGGGGCAGTTCTGCTCCCTGCTTTATTTAGGGTAGCCATGAGTGGAATTGAAAAGAAAGCAGAGGGTTTAGTTTGGTTTGGCAGGGTCTTGATTTAAAGGTGTAGAGGAGAAAGTAAGAAGATGATCTTTGCCTCAAGTTTGTGATAAATGGTAGAGATTGAGAGATGAGCAGTGTCTGGAAAGAAGTATGCTAAACTCCTGGTCACAGATGTGAGGCTCAGAGCAGGTCTGTAAGGTTGCAGGCAGATCTCAGGCCTTGGGGCAAGAAGGCTGTGCTCTCAGGCCTTGTCAAAGGCCCTGACATCGGGCGGGAGGGCTGCTTTCCTCTTCCCCAAGTTCCATTTAATGGTTTTATTTGTTTGGTCTTTAAGACACGTTTGTTTGAAGACAGTTTGTGAGGCGAAAGAAAAATTGGAGGGTGAAGATACAATAGCATTGTCCAAATCTTACTGAATAACAAAGAAGGAAACTAGTAGAAAAGGAAAAGGAGAGACAAAGTTCTAAGAAGAGGGAGAGAGAGAGAGAGTTACAAGATGTTACAAGAGTGTTACAGGAGCTTATTTGAGATGTTGTGTCATGTCAGAAAACTCTTAGAGGCTCGAGCTGCCTTCTTTTGTGAGAGGATGAGAATCAAACACCAGCTCCCCAGTCTGACTCCAGAACAAAGAATGGTACTGATGAGCAGTAAGTCCAGCAATGCCATTCCCCGGCAGCTTAAGCCCCACAGGAAATCCGAGGATTTCAGGTCAGGACAAGGTCCCACAAGAATGTCCCCACAGCCAGAGCTTTGTGGTTCAGTGTCACCACAGGATTTCTTAGGGGACATGTTCTGGGGGAAATTGCACAATGAGACAGCAAGATGTTACATTGAGGACAATAGATGCCTTGCCAGGACTCCTGTGTGTGTGTGTGGGGGGGGGGGGGGAATCGGGTTTAAAGCTCCCCCAGAGTTGCAGGTTAGTCAGAGAGTTAGCTGAGAGCAAGTCAGTCAGGGCTTTGTGGCGTTGAAAAACAAGAGCTTCAAACTGGTTCATTCTGGTTTGACCCCGTTAGAATCTTCATTTCCATTTTGATAATACAACCAGAATCTGTATTTTAACAAGAACCCTGTGTGATTCTTATCTTGCTATCACTTTTCATTTTCTCTCCAGATGTATTGTTGCTGTTACTAGGTATCCTCAGTTAGTTCCAGCTTAGTGACCCTGTCCACCCACAGTTGTTGCTCCAGTCCTGTCCATCTTCACAGTTGCTGTTCTGTTTGAGTCCCTTGTTGCTGCCACTGTTTTCAATCTGTCTCATAAAGAGTCTTCCTCATTTTTCATTTACACACACACCCCCTTCCCATGCATGAGCTCCCTCTCCAGGACTGCTCTCTCCTGATAATGTGTATTAAGTATGTGAAACAAAGTCTCACCATCCTTCTAAAAGCATCTGTCATACCTCTTCTAGACGACTTTGTTCCTTCTCTAGTAGTGCTGGGTGTTTTAATACCTGAATGCATCGGTTCTTCATCTGTCTTCTTACCTGTTGTCTAAGCTTGAAACTACCAGCTAGGAATATGGGCAGTCTCTTCCCACAAAGATATATAACCCAGGAAACCCAATGGCGAGTTCTGTGATTTGGGACTAACTCAACCAGTAATGGGATTGGGGGGATCTTGTTAAAATGTAGACTCTGGTTGATTATATTTGGAGTGGAAACTCACCAGAGGGATTGAACTAGAATGAACAGATTCAAAGCCTTCCTAGAAAAAGTATTCTTTTTACTCTGAGATGGGAAGTCTTTGGAGGCTTTTAAAACGACAATGTGTGAAGATAGCAAATAGAGGGTGGGTATGTTTAAGGAGAGTGGTTAGCAAGCTGTTGGATTAAAGTCAGATTCTGGTTATGGTGTGAGATACCGCAATAGTGCCATTAGGGTTTATTGATCAGTAGGCTGTCAGACTGAAGAAGCAGCATTTCTTTCTTGGATGACACTAAGCATTGTCAGGAATGGAGTTGTGTGTCCAGAGAGTTTGGAATGGAGTCCAAAGATTTTCTGGCTTGACTGAGTTTTAGAAAGAAATTGTCCTTTATCCTTTCTGATGTTGTCATTTGTATCTGGGTTAATTTTGGGCACACAGGCCTCTGCAGTGTAGTGTGGTCACAAGCTACAGCTGGACCTTAGGGCCAGTGAATTTATGCTAACGAGGAAGAACACGTCAGAAGTTGGGATGGTGACATCGACTTACGGTTACTGGATTGTGCACTTAGAAGCTGTTGAATTGCTGTGTGTTTTACTATGCATATGCTCATCAACAGAATCACCAACATTTTTTTAAAAAGTAGAAAATTTCCAGCAGGATAGCTTTGTGAGTCCTTTGGAAGCTGCCATGGACCCTGACTCCAGAAGCAACTCCCATTTCTGGTTCCTTGGTCTTGATGGATTAAGAGGGTCTTGTGATCTTAGATATGCTTGGAGACGGGAGAAATGATGAGATAGGCTGAAAACAGACCTCATTTCTTTAGGAGTGCCCTGGGTTTCAATTTTAAAACAGAATCACAACCTGAATTTATTGTCTAAGGTATCCCTTTCCCCTGAACAAACCAAAACCCAAAGCTTAACCTTCCACACTACCAGGTCTCCCAGAGGCCTGGAAAGTAGGGCAGAACAGCCACTGCTGACGTCCCAGTTTATGGTTTCACCAGCTGTGGTGCAGCAGACTGGCCCAACTCTGGCGGGGGCAGAAGCGGAGCCCCGGTGCTCGATGCTCCCCTTTGTGCACTCCCCATACATGTGCATTCTTGAGGAGTGAGTCAGGAGTTATTAGTATTTGCCTCTTTTTTAAGTCCCCACAAGTAAAGTCTAAGGGTTGTTTATCAAAGGAAGTTTAAGTTTCCACTCTGATATCACAAGGATAGGACTTTATCAGGTTAGCAGTATAATTAAACAGAATTCCCTAGCAACAGTACAGTTGTGGCCATCAAACTGTTATGATCTCTGTGAGTCGTTTATGGAGCTCCTGGAGTGATGTAAGAAATGTGTAAGAAGGGCAGATGGGAGATGAGTAAAGAGGCATGACTCTTTCTAGTGTTAAGGAAATTTGACATTAGAAGACAAACAGGAATCAGAGTTTCACAGTCTGGGTAAGGGTTTAAGTATGCCACATTTTGCACCTGTTGGAAAAAACCTTTTACATGTATGATTGACTCTCTGGACCCAGAGTGGTCGTGTTAAAGATGGGTGTGTAGAGGAGCACCAGAGGTTTAATAGTGAAGGGTTTGGGGGATAAGGGATGATTAATTCCCTTTTCCCTCTCAGAGATTGGGGTTCCCAAGCAAGACACAGTGAATTATAGTTCACCTGCCACGTTCCCCAACATTTTCCTGACCTCCCCAGATAGAGTGAGTACTTCAGTGATCGAACTGAGTCTTCAGCTACTGGGGTGAAGGGTGTGGGGGAGAGAGAACGACACAGACTACAGACCGGCCAGGCTCTGCTTCACAGGCTCCAGTTGTGGCGAAGACAGTCTAACCCTGAGAGGAGGGAATTACCTTAACTATTCTCAGAGCAAGGATAGTAGTCCTCAAAAAGGAACCCTTGATTTTGTCAGCCACAACTCTACCCTCAGTCAGCGCAGGGACCATGTGAAGCCATCATGACTCTGGGGTGACCACATGGTAGGTAACAGATGGACATTATTTCCTTTGACTAATCTTTTGTAATCTGGTTCAGACGTGGTTTCTGAAAGTAGTTCTTTGTCTAAGAGTTTTCATGTAGGACTCAGGTAGGGGGTTGAGGGGTGAGTGTCTAAAAAGTCTGCTGTACTCAATTGTGTCTTGGGGTCCAGGCAGGTCCGACCCTGACTCATCTGTGCCTGAGTATGTCACAGGTGAGTCCCCAGCCTGTGGGATGGAGTAGCATCCACTGAGTTATGTAGCAGCAGCACTCGTAGCTACAGGCGTCTGGCCCAAACTATGGAAAACCTTGAGAGGAGACAGTCTGTTATGGGACAGGAACTTTGTCCTGGAATTTCCTGGCCTTTGTCTGTCTGCTATAACTTCATGTACTGAGACGTCTGTTTTTAGAGTCTGCTTCCTTCTGAGGGAAGAGTGCTAGTCTTCCACTGAGCACTTCTGCTTCCTGTCCAAACCCACCTCTTCCCTCTGCTGGGGGTCCTTCCTCCAGGACTGGGGAGAGGGACACTGGACAGATGTGTACTTAGCTTCCCTTGGAAGTCAGTGGCTCAAATGGAGACGCTATAACTATTGGGCACAAGAGCTGCCTTTTTGTCATCCTGTCCCTCTCACCCTGGTCCTAACCTCGTTGCTTTCTCACATTGCAGCAGAAGAAATCATACCTTGAACGGAGTGTGAAGGAGGCTGAGGACAACATCCGGGAGATGCTGATGGCACGCAGGGCCCAGTAGGCGGCCATGAGGAGAAAGCCCCCCACGGGACCCCTCGCAGGCTCCTGTGGAAGGGGAGCCTCTGCTCTGCCCTGGTGGACACCAGCCAGTTGACCTCATCACTGCACTCTTTATACATGGCCCCGAGTTCCTCACAGATTCCAGCCCTCTATTTCTGACCCTGGCTCCTCCGCAGGACACTGTTCTCTCCTGGGATGCAGGGTGAGCTCCCAGGAGAGAGGAGGCAGGAGCCATGCAGGCAGAACTTGCCTGACCCCACTCCTGGCACCATGCTGGCCAGATCAATAAAGGCATCTGCCCCACTCTGCTGTCTGCCTTGTTTGAGGTTGTGAACAGAGACCTGAGAAGCCATGGCCAGCTTTGTGCCTCAACTCCTCCAGTCAATCTCCTTGGCTGAGTCCCCATCCCTTGCTTGGAAGCCAGCCCTTCCTTGGCAATTAGGATCTTGCCCATTTCCTCTTCTGGTTGTTTTAATTCTCAACTTTTAAGCTTCCATGTATATATATTGATGATGACTGCCGAGGTATAACTGCATATAAATGAAAAGGACAGTCTGTCTAAAGATTCTTTCTCCTGCTGTTTCCCAGAGATTCCAAAAGAAAATTCCATAATAAAGTAGCAGTACCTCCAAGGATGTCTCCCTTAGGCCAGTATCATGAGGTGTGGACATCATCAGCCGGCTGTCTCCTGGGCCTGGGGACAGTGCTGTGCCGAGCTGGCTTGTGCTGCTTACAGGAGCCAGTGAACACGTTTTCAGAAATTTTGTTGCAAGCCAGCTGTTAAAATGCAGCCAATTATTATGTAAATTTACAATGAAATGATATTAAAGACAAGGATAATATTTAAAATACATCTCTTCCTAATTATTTTCTATATTGTACTTTGTTAATGAGTTCTGTTGTATGTGGGTGGTAAAATCAAACTGGTGCTCTTGCACTGCTCATCCTAGTTCTACTCGCGGACTGCAGAAATCAAGACATGCTACACTGTGACTTAAAAAAAAAAGCAGATAGGTAAACATTTATCTGCCCGCCACTCTTTGGCCTGGGTGAGCGGTGGGGTGGGGGCGGGGCTGGCCAAGAGACAGTTGTTGGCGTCTCCTCTTAAGGTGCAGGGCGAGGAAGCCGGCTGGCTGCTGCAGTAGCTCTGCCACCCAGTGGCCAAAGCAGAGATGGACAACTGGGCTGATATTTGCATGAGGAAGACAGTTGCCTCTTATCAGGGCAGCTAGAGTTGAGTTCATGAAGAAGTGTCCATTACACTTCTTCATGAAGAAGTTAAGAGTGACTTGGCTAGCCTTACTAGCTTATAAACAAGCTAGTACGATGTGCCCTTTCCTACAGGGAACACGGAGGCATTTCTTCAGATAGAGCCACGCTTTGTCCTGTGAGTGTGCATGTTACTGAAAACAGAGGGGCAGCAGGAGAGGAACACCCAGGGTCTGACCCTGAAAAGAGGTGCCCTAGGCTCTGTGAGGGTATAGCTCCCTGGTGAATGCACGTCCAGAAAGGTCCTGCCTCCCTGACATACCTACACTACTTGTGTAACACAGCACCAGAGTGGGAGGTGAATAGGTTCCTCTTAAGGTACTGAACCATCTCTGAACAACTTAGACTCCAGAAAGTACCTGGAGAACTTGGGACTTGGGTGGGCACATGAGTAATTAAAAAGGTTAATGTATCCAGGAGGCACACAGCAGCACAGACCAGGGGTTTAGGATCAATCTGGAATAACAGACGACTGAGGTTTGGATCAATTTATTGAAACATACAAGGTGCTAGCAGAGAAATCATTCAGTGGTGTATTACATCTTAATTTTAAAGTTATAAATACACGTATCATAAGCCTTTGGCCAAAACAAGAGTCATTTAGCACATTCATTAAAGACCAGTAAGAACTGGATTTTGAACATTAAAAAGATCAAGTCACTGAATTAACAGCAGCAACCCCTACTAATCTAGAATCCCACTGAGTTGAAGGTAGAGGTGCCCTGGCAGAGCTAGTCATTTGTTACAGCAATCAGAAGAGGTGAGGGCAGGCACACTCGTCAGCAGTGACGGCATTTCTGGCAGGGCAGGAGGGCTGAGTAGGTCAGGTGAGCATGTCCCAGAGACAGCAGCAACAGAGGGCAGTCCAGCAGGCTGTGAGGCAGGTGGAGGAGTCCAGGTCATCCCTTCTTTGGTCTTCTACCACATACACTGGAAGAAGGGAAAGACAGTGAGGAGGAGCCAGTACAAAGCCCATGCCTACCGCACAGCCCCCTGCCCGAGAAGGCGCCTGTGACTGACAGCCTGCTAGCGGACTGCATACAGTTTTTGCTATACTACTGCTTATTGCTGGAGGAAAGGTGACTCATCATCTAGTCTAGTCGGGGCTAAGAGCACACTGTTCCCTGTGGGGACAAGCACTAAGAAAGCTATAGAACAGCCTTACTCAAGGCAGCTAGAATTAAGACAGGAAATGCCCATTGCTGGAGTTGGCTAAAACCCCTTCTTGGCTTAAGAACCTACAAGGAGCCTAGAGGGGTGGTGGTTTTGTTTTGTTTTTCCAGATAAAGCTAACCCACACATCAGTGACCAGAAGTAAGATTGAAGAAGAGGTTTGATGGCCCAACAAAATAACCAGGAAACCCTCATTTTTCCTGAGTGGAGAGTGCACAGTAACAGAATGTGCCCCAAACCTGTATACTCTGATGAGCAAAGCCCTCAGCACCAAAGCAATAAAGGAAGCAAAATGAAAAAACCAGGTCACACGGGATGGGGAGCGATGCCTGTGCTGTGTCCCTGCATTTCTGCTTTTCCACAGAGTGCTCTAGAGGATAAAGCCTGAGTGCTGTCAGGGCTAAGTGCTCCATTAAGAGAGATGGGTGTGAAAAATCCACAGGTCAGAGACCCCAACCATACAGCCTCTATTCTTGGACACACTTAAAATGGCTGATGGGAGGATCTGTATCCTAAATCTTAAATCCTGTATCTTAAATCTCAAAACCACCATAAGCATCAAGCTTAAAACAGTGAGAATGTTCAACTTTTCTAGAGCTCATGAATGCATATTACTCTTATAAATTAAACTAATCCTTTGGCAACTTTTGTTTTGTTTCTATTTCTGGTTTGGCATCTATTTTTGTTCCTCCTCTAGGCAGCTCCTCTGCAGCCTGCCATAGTAGCTAGAATGTGATGGGTGGTAGCTTTTTAAAGCACAGCAGAGATTGTGAGGATGATGGACGGGGCACATTCGGTTGTATGCGGGCTCATTATGAACCTACATGGTGACTGCAACAATGGGCTCAAGTGTGTCAGAAATGATGGTTCAGGAAAGGACAGGGTTCAGATCTGTTGTTCATGAGGTCACTAGGAGTTGTGGTCAATGTGACAGCACCTGACAATATAACAGCCACCCTCAAGGCCACATGTTAGATGCCGTTGAGTCAGTTATTGCTCACAGCGACGGACCCTCTCTACAACAGAACGGCACACTGATCCTGTACCGTCTTTCCTAACTGTTGCAGCCATGGTGTCATTTCATTGTTTTCCTCTTTTTCTCTGACCCTCTACCTGCATGAGACAAAATCTTGCCACCTTTTTTTTTGGTGGTGATGGGAACCACCTTCATTTCTAAGAGGCAACATGTTGTTCGTTCTCCTGGAAGTCTATGATAGTCCACATTCCCTAAGACTGTAATTCAGGGGAATCCTGCTTTGGTCTTACTGATCCAGCTTTTGCATGCATAGAAATGGAATGGAAATACCCTGGCTTGGGTCCTCAGTCTTGCTGCTAATGAAGTCTTTTGTATCACATCTACCCAGTGCTAGATGCCATCCAGTTTGCTGCTTGGAAAGGCATTGCAGACCCGAGTAAAATGAAATACTTCACAACTTCAGTTGTTTGTTTATCATGATGCAGCTTACTATCCAGTTGGGGGGGGGGGTTTAAGATGTATACGCTTTTTCCATACTAATGTCTTTTATATTCTTAGAGTCTTTTTATAGTCTTCAATAATTGTTCCAGATCCTTTTTGCTTTCATTAAACAAAGTTGTGCCATGTGCATATACAGGCTGTTACTAGGTCTTCCTCCCTCCATTCTTCTTCATTTAAATTAATGTCTTAGATTATTTGCTCAGCACAGATTAAGTATGGTGAAAGGATACAATCCTGATGCACACCCTTCCTGATTTTAAACCATGTGGTATTGTTCCATTCCAACACTGCCTCTTTTAGTTTATATATAGGTTTGGCATGAGCATAATTAAAGATTTTAGAATTCTCATTCTTAAATATTACATATAAATTCTTTCATCCATAAATGTCTTTGTTAAGTCTTTGCTTTTCAGCCAAGATCCATCTGACATCAGCAATGATATCCTTCCTTCCACAGTCTCTTCTGAATCCAGCCTGAATATGTAGCAGTCCTGTTGATGTACTACAACTGTTTTTTAATTATCTTCAGCATAACTTTGTGATATTAATGGTATTCTATAATTTCCACATCCTGTTGAACCATTTTCTTTGAAATAAGCAAGAAGCCATCTTCCAGATTGTTTGGCACAGACATGTAGTAGAATGCTTCCTGAATTAAAAGTCCCTTTGTTAAAGTATGTCAATTGGTATTCCATCAGTTCCTAAGTCTTGTTTTTTTTCCAAGTGCTTTCAGTGCAGCTTGGACATCTTCCTTTAATACCACTGGTTACTAATTAAAGCTATCTCCTGAAATGGTTGAATGTCGATTTATATTTTTTTTAATACTCCTTGTGTTCTTTCCATTTCTTTTGGATACATTTTTTTCTCTTTTATTATTAATATTAATTTCAATGTCTTTTGGATACATTTTACGCTGACACCACGAAAGCACCTCTTCCTCAGCAGTATTAGAAGTGCATCCTAACAGAGTGCCTCGTCCTGTACTGTGTCAGTGTTCTGAGGCTATTCATAAGGTTTTCACTGGCCAATTTTAAAAAAAATTATACTCATTTTAATCTAGAAGTTCTGCTGAAACTTGTCCA